TTCGTTCCCCAACCAACACGTCCATCGTGGATAATTAGAAAAATTCATCGTGACAGGAATAAATAAATGTTTCTTTCTAGAAATCATTTACTCGATTTACTATTCTTCTATTTAGTAATCATATTATAGAGTAAAACAAATCAGGTAATAAAATAAATTCTGTTCTTTTGTTTAGAAAAATTTCAGTGAACGTGGTTTCTATTTTTTAACGTATTGAATTTGCATGTTATTCAGTTTTATGGATCATAGTTCACCACTTCTGTCTATTTTTTCGTTGGTGCATTTAAACTTTATTCCATGTAAATCCTTTTGTTAAATCACTATTCCGTTTAAGAAGAGAGTCATTCATGACTGTAGTTTACGATTTAATAATACTCCAGAACAATGTCTCTGGAATATTTATATGCAAAGGCCCTCCAAGGAAGTATATTATAAAAATTTTTGCATTTTATCAACTTTCTTTATCAGAATTAAACTATTTTATGGGACATGAACCTTTAGTGTCTATTACTTCCACAATTGAACGCTCTGAAACCATTGGATAAAAACTTTAATAAACTCTTTTCACTAGCTAGTAATAATCTCATTTTTTTATTCTCATATTGAAAAAGATAATTCATGTTCGAGTAATATAAAAAACTGCCTGTAACAGGTACATAAAATATGAATTTTAATACGAACTAGAAGAACGAAGATTTTCGTCGAAATGAATAGTGACACTACAAAACGAGTTATTTAATTGATAAAAGAATTCGTTCTGTCGTTTTTCCGGGGCCAAGGTAAAGATGGAAAAAGTACTCTGGAAAGGAAGTTCTCCTTTTCCATAAACTGGCTGTAGAATAGGGTCGCGAAATAAACGGCGTAAAAAGCGTGGCTTCTCTTCGTGTCCAATAAAACGCGAGACAAAATTGGTAAAGGACATATCTTCTAAAAAGCCTCGCAGTCCGTTCTGCAAAATATTTCGAGGGCTCAGGGTCGGCCATGCTGTGTGAAGTGTTGCCCCCCGAGAAACACGACGAAATAGAGGGAAACAGCGGGAGCGATTTTAAGGGGAAAGACAACCGTAACGGGGAAACTAGATCAAAGGTAAGCTCGAGTAACCGTAGAACCCGAAAGAAGATTCGAATAAAAGTTCATGTTCAACGAATATAATTGAGAAATGACCAGCTAGAAACGCGACAGTCGCTTGTACTTCATAAAAAATTATTATTATTCGCTAGACGAGTCGGTTGTCTTTTCTTTTTAGTTCTCTCTGCAGAATCAATATTTTTAATACAATACCTCTGGAAAAATATATTTGTTTCTTGATTGCTCGAGTGAGACGAAACCAAAGAGAATATTTTCTGATATTACAATATGATTTTACTCCTGGGCAAAGTATTTTTTCAGTATTACTTCCCTTAGCCCAGTGTTTATCTTTAAAATATACATTTTCCAGTTCTCGTTCGTATTCCGGTCTTTTTGCTTTTTCGCGAGCACACTTTACTTTCTTCAACCGTCTCTTTTTCTTTCTTATTGTTGCCTTGGTGGTAACCACGCTCTTTTGATTTTCCCTCGGCGCCGCGATCGTCGTGAGATAATTCTAAAAGTAAATCGAACGGCATCGTATGAACAGTATTGCTCACATCGTCGGTGGTAACGCGTGATTTGTTGAATTATGACCAACGCCGCTACCAGCCGCACCGATCATGCTCACGTGTGTTCCGACCCCGTATTAGCATACTAAATCTGATTGACGTATTCTGCTCGTATCCATGAGCGCCCGTTTTAATTACCTTGAACGCGATACGTCGCGTGTAGTCAGATAATGTTTCGCGGGCAGCCGTTCGAAGAATTCGATCGGTTGACCGGATCATCGAAAACCTCTGCAAATTCAATGGGTGGAAATTGGACTCGAAACCGGGGGAATAACGATTATTAACGTTCGACGAAATAGACTTTCGATCGAGTGGTATCCTCTTTGGCCGTCTTCGAAGCAAACAACCTCTCATTTATCGAGCATCATAGACTCTCTCGAGCTTTTCAAATTGCAACCTAAATTGCATAATAGGCAGCTAAAATTTCTTACAGAAATATTCGAATTTAAATACGAATACTTGAAAAGATAACTTTGATATAAAAGATAAATTAACCGCACTGAAATTCGTGAATTCAAATTCATTTCCTTCGACGTTTCAGCACACGAATTAATTGTCTTGGTTCCAAAGCGTGATGAGGGGGCAGTTAGTAGACTGTAAATTATAACGGAGGTGTAAACACTCGTTAGCCTACTTTTCGCGGATGAACAATAGCTTCATCAGGAAGATAACGACGCACAGTACTTAGAAAAGATAATACACTTGTTGCTATAAAAATCTCATTGCTACGGACTCTAAATTTTGAACAGTGGTTAAAGCCTGTCTATTATCGCAAAATCGTTTCTGTTTCAATGGATTCTAGAACGTTAAAATTGGTGTCGCTGTGCCGGTCAATAATACGATACGCAATTTAGCTGCTTACGTGGGCTTTAACGAGAGTTCGCCAAGTACACCGGCGGATCTTTAATGTTTTCAGAGGTTCGGCCATTAAATCGAAACGACCGAGCTAATGCTCTTGTTTTTACTGCGAACAAAAGGGCCCGTGACACGGCGTACCGTTTAGTTCGCGGAACACTTTCATTCGCCCACGATGGCTTGCAAAATGCATTTCACGTTAGTGAAGGCAAGAAGGAATCTACTTACATATACCTTTCAAATATCTAGCTTTAAAAGCTTCAATTATTTTTATTAATACATTAACCATCGGAGTGGAACAACTGTAGGATTATATCCTTATTTGTATTTGAAAATTGACACATGTTATAGTTACCTGAGAAATAAATCTTAAATGTCCTCAAATTTTTCCAACTCATATATGCAGAGCTATTATAATGCAACAATGGTAGATTCACGATTGAAATACGAATCTATCGTTCCATCTCTGTCCTATTTCAAATATAAATGGTTCCTATTGGTGCAGTAACGATTCTCGAAGACTGCAGCATATAAAATGGGTCACTCTGTATCCCCACCTAACAGTGATTCTAACACGATATAATTTAAAAAATTATGATATATTAACTAGCCAATATCAATATTTCTGCACATAGAATCGACACTAATATTAGTACCACATGTCCTCTGACCATCTTAGAATTTAATAAAAATTGCAGGACTCCGCCTCGACGATGAAATATTAATTTTATCCCGTTGGAAAGTTTAATTTTATATCGTGGTCGGTTTGTGGTAGCGTTTAATGCATATTCCGACATTCCATGGAGCGAATATTCCTGCGGGTACGATCCCCGGAAGAATTTTTTATTGTCACTGCATTTTAAAGATTTCCAATCATACGGAAAGTATTTAACGTCAAACTCAGCGAGCGTAAAACGTAGCTGACCCGTAAAGCCTCGAGGGTTTTTAAATTCATACGTGCATTGTTCACCGAAATATCGTACATCGAGACATAGCCAGTTGCACGGTCAGGAATCGATATCGCGTTCTATCGACGCGGACCGATCATCGAGTACAATTTTCTTCCCCCGTTCGGTCGTATTGAATTCTTCAAATTTCAGAATCGTGCTTTATGAATTATTTTTTTTTTTTGCCGCAAAATGTCACGAATATTCAAAAGACGATTCGTGGTCAATCGTATTCCATTTTTGTCTCTACACTGTTTAACTGTGAAGATTATTGCGACGTTTGCTGTATGATATTATCATGAATTAATTTCATGTACTCAGCCAACAAAATTACAAGAATTTTAAATGATGTGAAAATTATGCTGGCGTCCAAAATAGTTTCGTAACAGACTGAGATTGTAGCAGTGTTGTTTGGTGCTTGGAAATGTTGCGTTTCATTAAGTTCTCGCCGCGAGAATGATTGGAGCAATGAAAGTAAATCCGCGTAGATTGGAAAAACTGAAACAGAAACGATGCTTCCTTCCGTCGTATTTGAAAGGGGTCTTATTGCAAACATTGACGACTGGAAAGCGACATCGCTAAATGCTTCTCAGTCTCGGAACCCGCCGTAAGCACCCTTAATGACCAGTCATGGAAGTGGCGTATAAAGAGGGGCACTCTGCTACAGAGAAATATCAAAGAGGCTTAATGACCAGTAGTGTCACAATGCCGCCTTTCTGCTTTGGATTTCCGACAGAGCCTCGAATAATTAATCGATGCTCATGGGTCGATAAACCAACGTTAAAGAAACGTAAAGAAACGTGGAATCGAAACTGACGATCTAAACCTGACGTCTGCTTTCCATATTCAGAAATGTTTGCTTGACCGTGAGAAACAAAAATATTCAATAATTCAATGGTGTAATTGTCGTCTTATAACTTTCCAAATGACGTTAAAAGTACTCAAAAATTTATAAATATCGAGGTACATCATATTCCATTTCCATGGAAAACGCCGAAAACAATCAGTATGAATAAATACAGCAAGTCAGTTTTCAACCCCTACGTGTTAAAAATTTCGCTGTAACATTTAAATTGAGCTTAAACTTATACTGAATGGCATTTTCATCTGAAATACAATTAAAACGCTTGTGAATCATTTTCATAGAGAAGGATTTCGAGTTCCTCTCGAGCAACAGTGAACGATAAAAAGAAAATTGAAATTCGATAAAAATAATATTGCTTTGATTTTAGTTCCTTTTCGTAGAACATGTAGCCGTAGTTTGATCGCCTAACTCGGGGTTATCTTTTACAAAGCTACGAATACACGGGGCTTAAAATGGACGTGTTGTTGCTAGTATTGAGCACGCGAAGTTGTTTATTCGTTATCTGGTGTGCGCGAACAGAGGAGTTGGGGGGGTGTAACCAGCGACAGTTTATTATCGAATGGACGTATTAATTCGTTCTCGTGCCGGATGCTCGTAGTTGGAGCCTCGAACACGCGAGCCTGCTGATAATCCTTTATGGCGCCGTCAAAAAAAAAACTTTATTGAGCGGCGCCTTTGAAAAATGGCCTTTTAAGGATGCGCGACGTGGAACTATCAAGTGTCAGTGGGTACCGATCGATCACCAGATAATTTTATTGATTACAGCCGGCGCGAGGGACGGGGCTGGTAGGAGATACCCGGTGATCGTGTTCGTGCATGGAGAGAGCTACGAATGGAGCAGTGGCAACCCTTACGACGGCAGCGTCCTAGCGAGCTACGGCAGCGTCGTCGTCGTCACCATAAATTACAGACTCGGCATTTTAGGTGAGTTTATTTCCCCGTTGCTGGTCGATCAGCTGCGTTACCGAGTGTTTTATCGAGCATACAGACCATTCAATTATTATTCTAACCGGTGGACGAATTACAATTTTTTTTATCGCGAATAGTGCATAGAAGTTGACACTGTATAGAGCATATCAAAATCATTTCATCCTGAATTATTTATACATTGAATTAGAAGCAAGACATGCATGCTCCATAATCAAAAATATCATTGCAATTTTTCTTCCAGCTCAGCGAATTGTTCTTTCCCTATTTTGGCACCACAAATTAATTCCTCGAAAAATTAATTCTGCTTGAAATTATTTGTTGTCAGAGTCTATCACCCAATCGTGGCTTTCTATGAAATTAGAATTTAATACAATATTATTTATATTAAATAATCATCATAAATTTTGCGATTGATGTTTAGTTCGATTATAACAGCAAAGAAATAACAAAAAAATGAGAGAATCCGTGTGTGGAAATCTGTTGTGAAAGTTTGGCCGTAGGGCAGTCGCGCCCTGTGCATATAGAAAGCTCCACCAGCCCTCTGTCAAGAAATTTCGCAGACCGCGCCCGACAGTGTCAATTACCACGCTAGGTGGGTGGAAAACCGTCTCAAAGCGAGGTTCAATGAAGAAAATCCTATTTCGTGTCTGAGCCATCTCCTCGCGAGCAACAGACAATGTCTAAGTAGGGGTAGAATTAATTTTGATCCCTTGACGAACGCGAGCGAGTTAAACTTTATCACCCAGTTTCTGGATACCCGGCTACCCAGCTGGGGAACGGCACAGAAGCCGATCGTTAGCGCTGCGAACGCTCCCTTAATTCCTTGCGTAGAGAACTTGGGGCTGGAGGGGGTGCGAACGCAGCTAGAACCTTCCGCCGATGAGACGAGCATAGTCATTAACGTCGCGACTGTGTATCTCGCCGGAGTCAGGTGAAACTAGTTACTCGTTCCTAGTTTGCTGTTCCTCCCCTCTGGCTCGAGAGCGAAAAACAGCCCCGACCGAGGGAGGCTGTAATATTGCTCACGAAATTATTCGACCGCACATTCAACCCTTTACGTTCGGACACGAACACGGAACTTTTATTCCGTGTTTCCGGATTTCTCGTTGGTCGTGTCAAGGTCAAACTCGAAAACGTCTTTGCCTTCTGTGCACCCTTGAGACGTAAGTAGATTCCAATCGAATTCGCGAGGGTAGAATTCCAATTTCCTTCGGAAAGTAAAAGGTTGAAACTCGATAAAGACTGATCAATTGTCGAATAATTAACGATCGAGGAGTCAAAAGCAAAATCGATGTAATTTATCGCGTTCGATCTCCAATGTCATCGATGTTCAGAGAAAAAGGTAGCGTGTTTGGCTGCAACGTCACACGGAAGGGATTGAAAGTTCCGGCAGGGTTGCCAGGCAACCAGGGTAGCCAAATCTAATAGGAAACTCATTACGGCCAGGTCGTCCGTTTCGCCAAACTAAATTCTTGACTTTGCCTCTGCTTCCGTGACAATGGCTGACGCTGTTCTCGTGTCTAGTCAGGCAACGCACGTGACCGGTCGGCCAGTCAGCTGCTTCGAACGATCGTGTGAACGTAGTCAAATTGAAATTTCAGAATTCTCTAGTCCCATTTTGTTACGGAAGAATATCTCGTTAATCATTTCTCGAATTTAGTCCCGAAACTAATTTCTCTAATTTTTATAGCTAACTTTCTTACGATTTTAATTTTGCTGATTCATTAAATTTGTGGGAACATTCTTGCAGCAGAAAATACTAAAAATATATATTCAAGATTGATAATGGCATATCTGTCAAATGTTTAATTAAAGTTACGTGTAGGCGGATGAAACATTGGTACTAATATTAACACACAGATAACATTGTAATTGAAACCATTAATATTTGATCGTAAAGGTAGATTTTAATGTAATTATAATGTACAAATGGTGTTCGCGAAATGAGATATTAAAACACTTGGATATCGAAGGGATGTAAATGCAATTGTTCGATGTCTGATAGCGCTGAGAGCTCCGGACATGTATTTCTGAAAATAAAGGAAACCCTCCCTGAACCGTACGGAAATTAATCGCGATTTTACGCGGAACCAATTGTCGAACGGAGGTTTAACTTCTTGTAATCAGGGAGCTCTGAGAACATCGAGTAAAATGCAGAGGGAAATGCGGGAAATCGAGCGGTTTGGGAACGCGCAGATGAACTACCACCTTCCGTCTTTCAGGTTATTAGGGAAACATTGTTCCCCGGGATTCGATCATCTAGGAAGTGTCTTCCGGGGACTTCTTAATATATTTGAATTTCTTAGTCACGGATATAACATTCAAAATAATTTCGAGTTTTTAAACATATTTTGTTCCCACTGTTCTTTTTAAATGTAATTATTTATTCTGTAGATGATTCGAAACACACGGTGAAGAACAGAATCTGTTGCTCTGATTAATTATTATCCTTTCCGTTTTCCATCTGATGCGATTAAACTTACAGACAATGGAGAAAATTTTACGATAAAAAGAACCAACTCGTAGCGATTTATTTGAGATTTTAGAAACTTATAGATTTGCTTTTTATTCGACGAAATAACGGATATAAAATTCGGATACCTTTTGCTCGTTTTTCAAAATTTGTATCCAGATGGGAACGAACAACTTTTATTCTTTATTTTCGGTTTTTTCATGTAAAATCATCACCTCCGCGGTTGTAATATCGATAAAATATTTTGTCAGATCGTAAAGTAAAATTCCATGACGAAGGCAATCAAAATCAGAAACGTGCGACTTTTAGTACGAGTTACATCGATTATTCGCTGAATTTTGGCTGTGTATTTTCTCGAGTTTCGTTGCGTTCCAGTTACGTAGCGAATAATCGAAGGGAATTGGGCACTTGGCCGGGCCAGATTTCCGTCCTTTAAACGTAATTCTCAGAGAAAACACCGGGCAGCGAGTAAATCCCGAATTTTTAAGCTTGTTCGTCGTTAATTTTACATGGAAATGAAGCGGAATCCAGTTTCACGATGTCACAAATAAATTTCTCGTTTTTTTCCCCCCTCTCCTGTGTATTTTCCTGCCGTCCTTTCGGCCGGCTAAAGTGATGCGGCTGTACGTGTTCAGCGACATGCGGACGATATAACAGGGTTCCGTTTCTTGAATTACATTCCTGCCGTTTTGTACATCAGCGGGATTCTCGTACGCTTAACTCTGAATAATGTCTACGGTCGCGCAAAACCCGGTGGCTCGGTCATTTAAACTTTTGACAGAAATCACGAATACTGCGTAACGCGTTGTTTCGCCGTGTTCGCTTTTCTAAATTAATTACCGAACAAAATATACTTTGAAATTTCCGAGGCGCGCCGGCGAGAATTTAGCCCGTAAAATTTTGAACGCCACCGAAAAAATAGAAAAATTTACCACCAAAAACGCTCGTACAATTCCTGAGTGTTTTACGTTCTTTTTTTAGGTAACTGATTTACGGACAGTGATAACAAACTCGCTTAAAAAATTCTATGAAATTTTTACACGAATCTTGATGTAAAACTGCGTAACGTCATGTGCATAGAATCGTATAAAAATTATGTTATGGACGTGTCGTCATATTTTTAAGTTCCCTTTGTTATAATTCGGATTTTGTTTCTCACAAGAATAAAATATTTGACAAATATGTTGGCTCGAGGTGTATAAGATTCCTTCGAAACTATTTTTAAATTTCAAATCTAGTTATCGAGCGCGATAGATCGTAAATTATTACCGCCGCGGCGTGTATCGTGTAACGATAAAATTACATTCGAAAACGAATTCCTTCGCACCCTCCAAAAACGGAAGACCAATCGGAACCGCCAGTTATCCTTTGACCGATAAATTGGTTCACAGAGGTGGCAGAAAGTCACGGGGAACGGGCACCGAAAAAAAAAAAGAAAAAAAAAGAAGAAACAGGATCAATGAACGGGTGGGGTTGGACCGTGCGAAAAATATCGAAATTTGATTCCATCGTTACTCCACTCAAACGGAAGGGGCTCGGTTTCGGGAAGCACGTACTTCCCGCGGTCGCAATTTTCGCTGTTCATTTTTCTCGTTTTTACTTCGGCCGGGCAAAAGTGACGCGGTGCTTTGTGCCGAACGAAGAGTGTCGAGGCCGCCGGGAAGGGGTGGGGGCGGGGAATGGCGATATCCAGTCGCCACTGTGCACGCCCATGTACCGGAAAATTTAAATCAACGAGTAACGTTCAGCAGTTCCATTGTAACGAGAAGAATAGGGGACACGGAAGCGCAGCACGACAGATACTCCGGAGGTTGAATATCAAATGGGATATGACCGTTGGTGGTTTATTTCCATTCCAGTTTCGCGCGTGTTACCCCCCTCCACAACGACGTCTAACCTCATCCACTCGCGATCCACGAGCTGCTCCTTCAGCTTCTTCTTTCCCTCGTTGTACACTTTCGCGATCATTTTCGTATATCTGTTGATTAAAAATTGCCACAGAAATCGTAAAATACAAATTTTGGTAAGGACAAGGTTGAACGTTTACTCGAAATTGCGTACTAATCGGTCAATTAAGACTTAAGATATCATTTGGAGAAGTGTAATTTCGAAAAATCGCATTTAATATGTTCGAGATCGTATATATTGATTCTGTTCGTGCCCTCAAAGAGCACGAGTTTAAAACTTGGCGAGGGAAAGGATAAAAAGCGATGGAGTGGCCGTTTGATGACCTTGGCCGACCACTATTTTCCGCTCGAGCTGTTCGATTCGCGATAAAAAAGCTAACAGTATCTATTGAGCATTCTATGTCACCGCATACCCCATCGTTATTTTAGTATTTTTTTTCCCTTTTTTTTTTTGGACGATGCATTTGCGTGACGCGATTGCGTGCGTTCAGAGTGTTTGGACCCGTTTGCCACGATAGCGGCCGGAAAAAAAATTGCAAACGCGATGTTATCGTCAATGTTTTATGCGTGCGAGCAACTGGAGCGAAAGTCGACGTCGGAAGTGTAATTAGGAGTTCTCCAGATCGTCTCGATCGCGAGTAGATCAATCCAGTCGGTCGTAACTCGTCCCGTAACATTCGAGATCAAGAATAAAAATGGCTGTGCAAAGAATTCGAGGTTAAAAACGTTTCTCGATGTTTGTATAATACCACAGAGTTCGTGAAAGCGATTTATTTATATTAAATTATACAGGAAGTTCGGCCATCCTTCCTAGAGGCCAAAATAACACAAAAATCAAGAATACCAATTTGTTGATGGAGGCTTCATTAAAAAGTTATTAACGTTTAAAGTTCCCCCAGTACTGAATATTTTTCTCGAAAATGCGCATGGTTTCAGGGGTATGTCTATTCACAAGAAATGATTGCAATTGACCCCTGCAACCGAAAATAATTTTTCCAGAATGATTTGAAACTCTTCAATTTTCAGGGAAACATATCAATGTATGGTCAGACATTATATTTTTAGTAACGAATTTTTTTCTCGAAACTGGGTAGGATTTCGGGGGTATGTGTATTCACCAAAAACGATTGTAATCGACCCCTGCACCCGAAAATAATTTTTCCAGAACGATTTGAAATTTTTTTTTTCGCGGAAAAATTTAAGCACCTAACCGAATTTTTTTCTCGAAAATGGTTAGGATTTCGGGGGTATGTCTATTCACAAAAAATGATTGTAATCGACCCCCACAACTAAGAATAATTTTTTCAGATCGATTTGAAATTTTTTAATTTAATGTTTTAATAACTTTTTAACGAAGCCTCAATCGAAAAATTGATTCATTGAACATTCGATTTTTTAAACTTTTGCTTTTATATTAACATCGTTAAAAACTATCCTGAGACAATTGTTCTCTGTTAACGGAGCAGTTGAAGTCGGAGAATTTTCGTCTTTAATAAACCAGACGAGTTTATTGGTAAATAATCTTGGAAATTCCGCGGTGTTGGAAATATGGCGAGATGAGCGTGACGTTGGGGCTGCTGGAACGAAACGGTTGACGGGCAGAGCGTGCTGTTGGAGGGCAACGGGTTAATCTTTCTTAGTTTGCATTACTTAACGGATACCGTGCGTCGACTCGTCGCGCGAAATCGAAGGGAACAAAATTTCCGAACGAAAAGCCAGGAATACGTCCGGTAATATGTCTATAAGGACCATCAATCACGCGTAATTCCGAAGCGAACGGGAACCCTAGAAAATTGCTGGGCAATATATTATCTCGGAAAATTGAGAATCGCGTATGCATATTCAGCATGCATTGTTTAGAGCGTAAGCGTTGCTTTAAACCTCGTTTTCATCGATCATCGTGGAGTGCGCCGAAATTGAGCATGACGTGTTCAATGTACAGGAGACTGACAAACGACGGACAATTTATTAATAACATTCTCCCACTGGAAAATAAACGATCCGTTTCACGCTTTTTAAAGCCGCGTTAATTACACGAACCATTACCCCCCACCACAATATATTTGCTAGAGACGCTTTCTGGCATTTCTAGAGAAGGTTTACTTAGGTTTACGTCGTGAATTATAGCGCATTGCTTTGAAAACGCATACGCCTAACGTTCGACATTGACGAACTGTTTTATTCCTTTTACAATCCCTTCGTTTTGCACCAGTTTAACTGTTGCAGAAAGCAACCGAGTCGCTCTCGCGATCAGAGGGAAGAAACCCTTTTTAATATATACAACATTTGTACACGCGTGGACCTTTTAAATTTCGAATTAAACGCTTAAAGACTTGTGTTACGATCCCGAGTCGTAACACCGAAGAGATTTGCGTTGGAATCCTGTAGCAGTTTCTCTATATCCTAGCTCAGGGTTTCCCAAAGTACGCGTACCAGTACCGTGTACCGTGATAAATCAAGCGAGCTAACAAACTTCTAAAGCGGAGTGGTAAGCGGTCGAAGAAGTTTGGGAACCCCTGTTCTACATCGTAAATCGTACATTACACGTACAGAGTTATTCCTGTAACTGGGCCAGCCTATAGTTTCGAACGAACTTACAAAGAAGTCGTGGGAAGAAAATTTACTTGTTTAATCGTATCGTTGTCGTGTAAATGTTAACTTTACGTTTTTCCGATAATTACGTACACCACTTTGTATTTTACTGTTAATTGTGAATATATTCCGTAGCGAAAAATGTTTCCCAAAAAGAGTTAAATAAACGTTAACATAGGCTCCGAGCCTTCAAAGTACTCTTGACAAATTAGGAAAATTGCACGCTCCTCTTTCGTTAAAAATCACAGTAATGAAAAACAGGCTGAGCTAATTCGACAAAGGGGAGTTCATTTTTCGAAAAGTTCGAAATCGAGCCGCGAGCGGAACAAAAGAATTCATTTCGTGCCGGCCGGGCAGCCGACTAATTGGCATAATTAATTTATCGACGATGCTACGAGCAAAAAAACCGTTGGACGTATCGCGTTCCATTCTCTCGAGGCTTCTTTCAGCGGCCATTTCAACGAAATTAAATGTAAATTTCTATATTGTTCGCAACAATCTCTCGGTACGACATCGTTGCTTGTGCAGACACTTTCGAATTCTTCTTTGGTTTCACACACGCCTCGAACTCGCATTAATCCTTTGACGTACGATTTAATGTCGAATAATTCGTCGTCGAATTGTTCGTACAAGAAATGACCACGAAAAAGAATAAATTTGTTTTATGAGTGGCTCGTAAATGGTAAAAGTGTATTGATTTTAATATACAGGGTGTTCTAACCACCAAAAATAATTTTTCCAGAACGATTAGAAATTTTTTAATTTTGTCGAAAAATTTCACACATTCTCGAATTTTTTTCTCGAAAGTGGATAGGATTTCGAGGATATGTCCAATGACCAAAAATGATTGTAATTGACCCTTGCAACTAAAAATATTTTTTTTAGAACGATTTGAAATTTTTTAATTTCGCCGAAAAATTTCCTCCCACTGAATTTTTTTCTCGAAAGTGGGTAGGATTTCGGGGGTGTGTCTGTTCACCAAAAATGATTGTAATTGCCCCCCACAACCGAACATAATTTTTTCCGTGAAGGATAAAATATTTTAATAGCTTTTCAACAAATTGATATTCTTGATTTTCGTCTTAACTTGGTCTCTAGAATCTGGCATTAAAATTTCCCCCAATGGTGGTCGAACACCCTGTATAAGACTTGATGACGAGTGAGTAAGCTTCAAGTGTTGTTATATTTTGAAAATATATTAGCCATAAAAAAATTCGTGTTTAAAGTGAGGCATATTAAGTTAGTTTGAATACAATTAGGTATCGAATAAATGGAAGGGAGATATTAGGCGTAAAAAGTGGTACATTTTAAAAATTTTCTGACCGGAATCGGGCAATTTATTCGCCAACGTCGTGAAAGTTTCCGATCTTTCTCGCGTCTTCTGCGTCTAAGAGGATTACGTCTGTTATGTACACTTGCTCTCGCGTGTTACATAGCCTTAACAAGGCAGGCGTTACTACTCTACGAAAATGGGTCAACGTCGTTCAGTTATCTGTTCACCGGAACCGTGGCCAAATCGATAATTTACGAAGTTCCTCGACACTCGTCGAAAAATGCGCGCCCTCGAATAACCGGGTGGCTGGCTGAAAAGAATTTCCAAGCGTCAAGTCGGTCCGTTTATCGTCGCGCAAACGAGCAATTGCCAAAGGCTGTAAGAGTTCAAGGGTCCGTACCCGGCGTCTCGATTGTATTCCACGCCGTTCTGACAATTTTTGACGTTGGACGTGTTCAAAGTAGTTCTTTGTTTGTTTTCCAGTTATCCGGCTTTGCCAGTTAAAGTTTACTTAAAGGCACTTGACTAAGTTTACGCCCAGGGCGACAGGAAACAATACTACTTGCGAAACAGTGATTCGCGCCGCCATAGTTTGCAGTTGTTTCTCGCCTCCTGAATTGGATCCTTTACTTTTTAAATAATCCCTTTCTTAGAATAGAAGCTTTACAAATACTAGAGATAATTTACACTATTGAGAAAATTTATATTAAAGATGTTATTTATATTACAAAATATAAAGCCCAAAAATGTAATTGTTCCGAGTTTATAATAAATTCAGATTTCTCGGAAGTGTATTTAATAATTTGTATCTTAATAAATAACGTTTTCGAACGCACGATACGTGTGGTACACCCTAATGTTTGCAAAACAATACCCGGAACTGGACAGAAGGGAGAAAATTTTGGTAAATTCTGGAAAGCGTCGGGCGCAATTAAACGACAATGAATCTGGTGGCAGTGCATTCGCCGATCAAATAATCGGACGATTTATTCACCGCTAGCCCGACGTGTTCTATTTTGCATATCGTTCCACCGCGCGAGATATCGTTATCAATCGATGCAGCCCATTGAAATGGTATTTATGGCAGCTGGAACCACTGAAACCGGAAAGCTACTCGGTTAAAAGTGCCTTTTGTATACGGCGTGCTGTCTCCATTTTCTTTGCAAAGAAAATTGCATCCAACACTATACAGCCGAACGAAGCTTCTTCAAATGAATATAGTACGCCTATTCACGTTTGACTTCACTTCTCTTTCATATTTAGAGAGCTGAGAAAACAATAAGGACAATTCTCTTTTTATATAATTTCCTTTCAAGAATCCTTTTGATTTTTTTCAACATTCAATTTGTATACAAAAGATAAGATCTTAGATACTTAGAGTAGAGTACCACTTTAAAAAAAAGGATTGTTTCGAAACGCGTTAGCCTGTATACGCGTGTTTCCGATCCAATTGGAAATAACGAGGCGATCGTCCGAAGAAGGCCGTAAAGAATAATTTACAGCCGTGGCGCGTAATCCGTATCGCAACGTGGCCCGATCCGCCGATTCGAATTAATCCCGATTTCGACGGTCTCGGTAATTTTGGCGCGGTTACACGGAGGCCGGCGATAGCGCCGCAGACGGCCGCAGCGACCATAAGCGAGCTTGTTTTAATTACAGGCTTTCTAAACGCCAACACGGATTCGCACTTACGATCGCCGGCGAATTACGGGCTGATGGACCAGATCGCGGCGCTGCACTGGGTGCAGGAAAACATCGGTTACTTCGGCGGCGATCCTGGGAACGTGACGTTGATCGGCCACGGGACTGGCGCCGCCTGCGTCAACTTCCTGATGACCAGCCACGCGGTACCGGACGGTGAGTGATCCACATTTCTCGTCAAAAAATCGCAATCACACATAAATACAATGTGTGGCCAGAAACGCTCCTCCAAAATTTCATGCGTATTTTCGGTGAAAAAAAATTTTCTCAAATTGTTCTGAAAAAAATATTTTCAGTCGCGAGGGTCCATTACAAGCATTTTTGGTCCTTAGATATACCCTCGAATTCCTACGCAGTTTCGAGAAAAAAATTCAATAAGGGGATACACTTTTCGACAAAATTAAAGCATTTCAAATCGTTATAAAAAAATTATTTTTAGTTGCAGGGATCAATTACAATAACTTTTCGTCATTACACATACCCTCGAAATCCTACGCACTTTTGAGAAAAAAATTCGATAAGGGGATAAACTTTTCGACAAAATTAAAGCATTTCAAATCGTTCTAAAAAAATTATTTTCAGTTGCAGAGGACCATTACAAGCATTTTTGGTCATTAGACATATCCTCGAAATCCTACGCGGTTTCGAGAAAAAAATTACTTACCGAAAATATCATGCCTGACCATACCGTTGATATGTTTCACTGAAATTTCATGCGTATCTTTGAAACATCATAACTTTTGATCGGATTGGACGATTTTACAGTTTCAAGAGGCAAACAACGCGTATTTTAATGGAGAATATGTAGATACTCTAAAAATATTCAAAAGTTGTTTCTTTACCCCATAAAGTTAGAAAAACCCCATAAAGGGTGGTTCAATTTTCGGACGACCATAACTCCTACAATAGTGAATATATTTAAATGAAACTTTTTTCTTAAGTAGAGCTCATGGATACCTACAAAAAAGTACTATAGAATTTTTCTGTATAGTGTCAAACAAACTTATTAAAAATCAAAGACGAATTTTTAAGAAAAATCGACAGAGAGTGGTGCCTAAATTTTTCGGCGAAAAACAATTTTTTCAAATCGTTCTCAAAAAATTATTTTCAGTTGCAGGGGTCCATTACAAGCATTTTTGGTCATTAGACATACCCTCGAAATCCTATGTATTTTTGAGAAAAAAATTCTTTACTCATTCACTTTTATAACTATGTCAGAAATTTATTCAAAAATTAGTAGTTATTTTTCTTGTGTATATTTTTACATAACAAAGGAAGTATAAATCATGCAAGTGTCCATCCACTGTTTTCGAAAACAGTTTTCAGTTATACTGAAGAAACATTTCGATTTAAAGAATTGCATTCCAAGAAATAATTCCACTCTAAAGATCTGCCAACCCTTACTATCTCACGACCAGAATCCTTGTACGACTTTCAAGTCAGCCCTTCGAGCCAGAAAATCTGGTCGCTGGAATTTGAAGATTCCACCCTCCGTATGTTAAAATTCGACAAGAACGTAAAGTTTACGAGTAAAATAGAAATTGCCCTCTCAACTTCCGAATCATCCCCTGTTAGATGGATTTCCATGAAAGAAGAAATACGAACAGACACGCGAAGGGTTGTTCCCGCGATTTAAATCAAAGCGAGTCGTTTCGGTACCGAAGGCGCCCATCGAAGCGAATATAAATGAAAATCTCGAGATAGACAGGAGAGGGAAGAGGGTGGTCAAAATCTTCCTGGGAACCTTCCTGGCCAGTGGAGGTGCCTGGTCTCTTTAATCGAGCTACAGGTAATTCAACCCCCTTGGAGCTTGTCGGAGACAGGACTGTGGGATATTTTATTTCTGTCGTCCGCTAGCCCTTAGAATAATTAACGTCGTGTCACGGCAACCCTTTTAACAGCCGCGTCTAGAAATAGCTGGCGGAATATTCAAGATTAAAGCGTTCAATGTAAACGAAGGGTGAATGGAACCGGTGGATGGATTAGGATGTCGTACGATCTCACAAAAAATACCGTCAGCAGACGTTTCAAACGCTTCCCTTACTTTCGACGATAAAGGGATTCAATGGCAAAATACGTGAAAGCATTCCCTTTAAATATTTTACACGCTGTCGAAGTTATTTGAAACCTCTTTAAACTTGCATCGTTTAATTTTCTTCGAGGCAATCGCGTTTTATCCTATCGAAAACACTTTTATGTTTACTTCTTCGAATATTACGTCGTCCCATAAGTTCATACCATTCGTAATATTCGTGATTTGGTAACAGAAGTAAATAAAATTCGAATTGCGTTATTTATCGCGTTTTAAGTCGCAATTAAATTCTCGAGAAATCCCCACCAGTGATTTTATTTTATCCAGGAGGAAAGTATTCAAATTATTCCTCCCGAACTCTTCACCCCATTCCTCAAAGTCTATAATTTCCCGTGAACTCTAATCGCGGCGTGCATAAATTTCTTTCGAGCTCGGGGCAGGCGTAACGCCGAGCGATATTATTAACCAAACTCCGTTGAAAATCATTTCTCAGCTCGGTTCCGTCGCTCGCGTGTGCGGAAAGTCTGGAGGTTGTTTCAGCGTATGGGAAGACAGATCGATCCTCGTAAGCACGGGAAAAGCAACAAAGTAATCTGCCCGAGGGTTCGGGCTTATCGTTAACCCGACCGAACAATAATTCACTATAGCTGGAAACTGTCAATGGGGATTAGACCAGCTGATTCCACGGTAATTTATCGTTTCTAGACAACCACACCCCTCCCTTGTTGCACGCGATTTCGTAGCAAAGACGGGATTATGTTAAATATCGCGATCGAATCTGAATTAATTGTAACTCATTCTATCCTGCTTCGTTGAAATCTAGTAGTAACTTCGATGTTCCAAGAAGTGACGCTGGAATGCTCAGCTGCTGTCAATATCAGAGTCAGTTAATATTTCGGACACTGGAATACTTAAATAGCCCAAGTTTGTGATATCTGAGGTCCTCAAATAGCCCGATAATACAAAATAGTATATCATTATTCCAAACCGTAATACTGGGATGTCACAACATTCAAATTCCTCGATATCTTGAACATCTAAATATCTAAATGTTCCCAATATCCTGGGATCCAGATACGCTCAACTCAGGAACTCAAAGCAGTGGCATATCTGTATGTCGGAACGAGGAAGTGCCAGCAGAATATGGATGCTGTAATGAGAACGATTGAAACACTAAGTTTGCCACCTAATTGGAGGTAGGGTTAGCATCCCTCGTCGGCATAAAGGAACACCTTGTCAAACGTATTCGCGAACTTAATGTCACTTGGTGTAACGATCCAAGCCAAGTCGAGGTAAGTTTCACTTTCGCGTACATCTTGGTAGGCGCGTAGTCGATAGCAGCTCTAAACTGAAAGTATCGTATTTTAATACTTGACTTCTTCTAATTTATATATCGATACGAAGCCAATGTGACCAAAATAAGGTGTTACAGATACTTATTTACCTTTCCAATTAAACGGAGGATTGAGTTTCCTAGTTTTCTTAAAACAAAAACAGTGGCTTGAAGTTAAAATTAGGGATCGCAGAGCATCGTATTTCAGGGTTCATTGGGTTCCAAGTTGAGAACGATGTATTTCCAAGCTCGACATTCGACTCCCCGTATTTCTGAATCATGAAACGTGTCAGAAATCCGATCGATGCGCGAAAGATCCAACGGCGGTTCAACGACGGCCTTATTCCTGCACGAAAACCGGGTTTCCCTCGCTCTTGATTCCAGCCCCGTCCTGTCGCGGTTTCCATTCCGCCAGCGTTATCTGGCAACGTGTCTGACTCCACAGAAAGGGGACGACACCTCGGCGGACGAGCAGCGGCGAGTTTAATCGTCTCCAGCGTGTCGCACGTTCCAGAAAAGTCGCGTGCTCGTCGCCAGGCCCGAGACTACGTCGAGTGGCATTACGAGCGGAAGGCTCGTCTAATGAGACCGCGGCCGGCAAATGCCACGCAACGCCGCCATTTGTGTCGCGAAACGCGCCGTATAATTTACGCTGATGGCAACAGCGTCGCTGGCAGCCGATGAATGACGGCAATTTTGTCCGAGGGGATCGTTTTAATGGAAAAAGCGAGCCGCGTCGCAGCGCCGTTCGCGTTCGCTTTCCCATGATTTCCCAGCTGAAGTTTCCGATTTAAAATTTCCAACGCCTGTCCTATTTAATTATTCATCTTTTTTTGGGTGGGAGATGGGTGTCGTTCTTTCTTTCGTCCAACGTTATGCAAATTTTAGGGGGCTGTTCAATAATTACCACGAAGCATCATTTTGTTCCTTTTTCGTATTCTCTGTGAAATATTCCGCGATACGTTACTTGGTAAATTGATCTCTTGTGCTGTCGAATGGGGAGTCGGAACGCTTTTTAATATCTGCCATTTATCTATTTTCTTTTATTTGTAACGCAACTATTGATTCTGTTTCTTCTTCCTGCATGTAAATTTGTATCCAAAAATATTGAATATTTTGTTTTAAAAAATGTTTTGAAAGAAAAAGCAAGCGCAGAAAGGTTTTTAAATTACAGGGGTATGTGTCCATATAAGCCAGAAACATGAAAAAGTTTCAATTAATTTTAAAATGAATGAAGCACCGAAAATACTCGCCTTGAGGAGCTTATAAATTATGCGTTGTACGAGAGATTATTGTACACAAAGGTTTCAAAGAGACCATTAAGCGTCGTATGAATTTTTTTCGAGGCTAATCGAGATTAATACTTTGTTATCCCGAAGGGGTGCATGTCGTTTAAAAAATTGAAGTTGACCATATTTATAGTAATTTACGGTTAAAATGGTAATTGAAAATGTACATCAGCACCGTTACAAATCACCTATATTCGACTTTTTTATTCGTTGCAATCTCGTATCGCGTAGGGTTATGAATCTTATTTTTTAATTTCTTAGTTTTAGAGACTGTACGCGTGCACGGCACGGTTAAAGACTTGGAGCTTATCAAGGCTCGTTTTTTATATCATTTTTCATGATTTATGCGCGTCTAGTACAAGTATTGATTTAATCTTAATGGGGCCGGCTGTTCTAAAAGCACGGAACCTCGGCGAATGGCTTGAAAAAGTATCCTAACACATTTGCAATGCCACAATTTCAAGCCAGCGGATGTCGTTTAAGACCATCGGGATGCTATAAA